TGAAACAAGTGAAAGGACTTCCAGACAATTATCCCACTGTCTTGAGTTGAACTACACTGCATTATGCCTTCATTTCAAAGAGTATTCCAAATGAACTGTATCTGATTTATTAAAAGTTAAAGCAGAAGCATTTAAAATTAATACACAACATAGAATGAAGCTGTGAGGTTACAGCCAATCTCCTTCATTAAGAAGTTGGTAATGCTCACAGCTGCTCATTTGACATTTCCGTCTAGAGTAAGTTTTAAGTTCCTTTAATGCTCACATCACATAGGCTATGCATCATCAGACCAATTGCCATCCCTCCAACAGTGACCAGAGACAAATCTTTAGTGTAAAATAATCCAAAGACAAGAGATTTGGAGTAATGTTTCAAAAGTAGCATAGTGGTATCTCCAGCTTTGGCACATTCCTAAATGTTAATCTCATGGTGAAGGTTACTGATCCCAGTTTCCAGATTTAAAAACTGAGATTCCAAGAGGCCAATCAAGTTTTCCTTCTTATACTCAGCTAACATTCGGTCACATGACTGGGCTCAGGGCTATGCCCCAAAGGCCAGTTTGCTGGTTCTCAGGGCTGTCAGCATTTCTTTGTTACAATTGGTTCCACCAAGGGTTGGAATCCCTCAGTGAAAGGAAAGGTTGCATAATGAAACATTCAACGGGGACTCTATTCAGTCTGACTCCCAACCGGATCGTTCTTTTATCTCGGATCATTTTCTCAAACTATTTATTTCTGTGCGGTGGTGGTGGGAACATTGATGACAAAATGGCACCTTCTTACCCTGCTCCCTGTGTGTCTGACTCACACAGGAAGGAACCACTCAGCTTCCTCACTCCCCAAGGAGCTGGAGGTGGGTTTTAACTTGCCTTTACCCTCCCTGGCATCATCGTGAAGACTGTCAGCTTAGTTCTGAAAAAAAAAGAGAGAGAGAGAGAGAGACAGAAACAAAGCAACTCCACAAACCTTTATTACTCAGCAGGTCACTAGAGGCAGAGAGAGGCTCAGTTTTCCAGTCTCGTGTGGAGGCACCAGTGCCGGCAATTGAAAGGCCACTTTTGACTTATAAAACAGCAACTCAGTTGGCCAGGAAAGCAACCAGTTTGTGAAACTTGAAGTTTCTGTGTCCAAACTTTACTCTGAAAATATTCTTTTCACCAGGATATTTATCTGGGGGACAGACAATCTTTTGGACAATCTTTTGGAAACCAAGCCTTCATCTGACCTAAAAAAATAATGCTCACATCCAATGAGAGTGGAGGACAAACTGACGTCATGTGTCTGTGGGCTGCAGTTGGGAGTTACTACCTTGTTTTCTCATTAATGACAATAGGCCACTACTCACTTTTCATTTTCATTTTCTCCCTGTCCCAGACTCTCTGGAACACAGCTCTTTGCAAAGCAGGTGTCCCAGGAGTAAGGGCTGTGTCACTATTACAAAGAGCAAAGGAGTCTAGTTTTATGTTGATTGAACTCCTGACCTTGTCTTCCTTATCCTCGTGCTCTGTGACACTAAGACAGAGACCATTTGGCACGGAGGGGCTGCCTGTAGGATTTGTTTGGATTTAGCAGATTTTAGAAAATAATTTTCTTTGACCTGAGTCATTTGCTGGCTGTACTAGAATATTTGCACATCTATTAAATGGCTAGTGATGGTTCATTTTTGACTCCCTCCTAAGTTGCTTTAAGATATTGGGAAAGAAGATGCAATGAAAAATAAAATTGCTCTGATTAATACTGTATTTATAGTTCCATCTATCAAGGTCATGTCCCTGGATGCCAGCTTTTTTTATGAAGACAGAAATACTGTGTCAGTATCTGTCTAGCCCTACAAGAGGCAGGAAGCCAGAAGGACAAGGAGTGACAGGAGAGGGGTGCCTTTTATTTATTTACAAATATATATTTATATTTGTTGCATTTTGGCTCTATACATATGTATAGTCCAACTTTTTGTCCTACTTTGATATCTCTCTTAGGTCACCTCAGTTCTTTTTAGACTGTGTCTTTGAAAACAAATCTACCTGTTAAATAATTTTTTAAATTGTATTGTTACAGTGCCAGAGATAATAGTGCTAGGCGAGGGGCTCACCCAGCCTAGGAAAGTGCAGAACAACTGAGCTACATCCCCAGCCCTGTTAAACAATTTACTCAGTTTCTGTCTCGCCCCTGACCAAACAAGCTAAGCACCTGCAAGCACTATTTCCATTGTGAAAATTTGACTTTTAAATCATACAGGCTTGTGACACTGGAGCCAAGGCTGACTTCCATGACTATGCAAAGGAAAGACAACAGAACCCAGCCCTCTGCTGGGCACAAGGCGGGGATGACAAGTATTTGTGACAGCAGGAGAATGAATAGTCTGGTAATCTTAAATTACTGGAAAACAAGTTAAAACAGTTACCTTCATGTTTACAGGCTTTTAGCAGTCACGTGTATGTACAGAAGACATTACCTCAGACTCAGTCATGATGCCTTCAGGAATGCTGAGGTGTCCTCTGTTATTCAGAACATTATCTTCAAGGGAGGACAATTCTCTGAGTACTCGGGTAGAAACAAAATGACCTCATTTCCACTGATGAAGTTAGTAGGGATTTTTTTTTTTTTTTTTTTTTTTTTTTTGCCTTTCCCCTGTGTGATGTTAGGAATTGAACCCAGAGCCTAATGTATGCTAGGCAAATGGCTCAGCACTGTAGACAAATTGTACCACTATATGCACAGGTACAACCCTTCCACCTCAAGTTGATGTAATTTTTATGCAAAGTGCTTACTGTAATATATTTAATAATCACTTGTGGGTTATTGCTAAGAATTTTAGTGTCATTAGGTGCAAATAATCATTCATTTATTCATTTAATAAACATAAGCATATAACTATACGGAGATTAATGATACTGTACCTGCCTTTAAAAGTAGTAATAGTAAGATAAATTGAATACTTGCTGTGCTCCAAGCACCATTCTATTCTAAATGTTTGACTTAGCTTTTCTCATTTAATCCTTACAACATGCCTATGAGATAGCCAATGCCGTGATTTTCATTTCTTAGATAACAAAGCTAGGGTACAAATTAGCAAACTGCTCAAGTTTACCAAACTAAGATGTTGTAGAGCCTGGATCTGAACCCAGGAAATTGTACTCCAGAGTTTGAATAATTAATCAACTGTACTTGGTTAGCATCATGTGTGCTGGGCTCTAAAGAGATGTGCTAAGTCTAAGAAAAGAGACAGGGAAATCTTCAGTGTAAAATAAATAGAGAGTATATGAATATATGCAAGATTTGGAGAAATATTTAGAAAGCAACACGATGGTGTCTCCAACTTGTGGGATGTGTAGGAAATCAGACAGCATTAAAGAGATACATTGACCCATGCTACCCATCACAATGACACACATTTTTAGCCAAATTCCCTCAAGACTCAAGAATTTATCTGGAAAAGTATTTTAATTTCATCCACAGGAGCTATAAACACATGCAGATAGAGTCTGAGTATCTATTATCTGAAATACTTAAACCAAAGTGTTTCAGATTTCAGATTTGCATAGATGTAATGAGATATCTTGAGAATGGAACTCGAGTCTAAACATGAAATTCATTTATGTGACTATATACCTCTGTTGTACACACTGAAGGTAATTTAGTACCATAGTCTTTATAATTTTGTGAAATGAAGCCAAGTTTCATGGTATGGAATTTTCCACTTGTAGTATCATGATAGTGCTCAAAAATATTTTGGATTTTGAGCATTTTTTATTTTTGGATAAGGGTTTGTTTGCTTGCTTGCTTGTTCTGAGATAGTATCTTGCTTTGCAGTACAGGCTGGCCTAATATTGTGTAGCACAGGCTGGCTTAAGACTCATGGTGATCTTCCTGCCTCAGATTCCCAAGTGCTGGGAATCCAGGCACATGCCATCATACTCACCTGGAGCAGGGGTGTTCAATTTATATATAGATTGGCAGAAGAAAAAAGTATCCTAGAAGAAGTGTTAGCTAGACTTCTTATCGAGATTAAAAGCAGCTTTTTAGCAGAGAATCCAGAATTAGTTCACCAAAATTGGGTAGAAAATCAGGGTGGGGTAGTTAAAGAATTTGGTGTAAGATGGCCAGGTCATGAGAAGCCACACACATCATGTCAAGAATTTAGGGCTTTATCCTAAAGGTTCTGTACTTTAGAAGGGTTATTCTGATCGCAGGATGAAGAATAAGTTAAGAAGAACAAGACTGGAGATGGAATTAGTCAAGAGACAGTTGGGATAATCCTGGTTAGAGTATATGGGCTGCGGTAGTGTCAGTGGAAAGAGAAATAAGCATATGGATTCCATAGGTATTTAAGAGGTGCTATTATCAGATCTGATTGGCGTTGGGGCGTATATCAGGGAGAAGATTTTAGGAATGACATTCACATTTCTGGCCTAGGTAATTGGTTATATAGGAGGAATTCAGAAGAAGAAGAAAAAGCAGCTTGGGTGGGAAAAGCAAGTGAATTTGGAGGGATTGAGTTAAAGTACTCAAAGCACCTCTAAGTTATCCAAGTGGAAATATGCAGGAGATGGGTTGGTATTGCTAGTCCAGAATTAGAGATTGGGGTGCTCGCTTTGGCGGTACATATAGTAAAATCAGAATTATTGATTTGGGAATCACAGGCAAATAGGTAGAGCCCATTTAAGGCAAATTTGTAGGCTGAGAAATGAAGAGGGCCTATATAAGACCCAAGGAAAAAGGATGAGCAGTGGAAAAAGTCTTGTGATGGTTTATGGGGAAGATTATCCCCCAAGGACTTCATGCATTCGCAGGTGAGGCTTTCAGATTGTGCTTGAATTATGGAGGTGACATAGCTGACTTGCTTTTGGAAGGTAGAGTCAGACTGGAAGAGGCTGGCCACTGGGGCTGTACCCTGAAAGGGTGTATCTCCCTCCCTAGCCTCCTCCTTTGCATCTAGGCCATCCCAACATGAGTAGTTTTCTTTGACTGTGTCCCTTTCCCATGCCATTTCTGCTCGACAGCTGGCTGATGATGAACTGTTATCATGAGCCAAAATACACGTTTCCTCTTTTAAATTGTGGGTGTTGGGTATTGTGTCCCAGCAATGAGAAGGTAACTAAGACAGGGCGGTATAAAGAAGAAAGCACAGCCAGAGAGGTAGCAGAAGAATTCAGCCAAGCAGAGAGAGCATTTCAAGAGACAGTGAACTGCTGTGAAACACGGAGAGGTAAGGTAAGAGTGGAATGAGCAGTCCCTGGATTCTGCATTCAGGAGCTTACTGGCACCATTGGTGGTGGCGCACTGACAGCAAAGTGACAGCATAATCTGAGAAGTGGTGGGGTGGGACTGAGTGGGAGGAAAGGAAGTAGTGAGGCCAAGGGTAGACAATTCCTCAAGACTGTGCTGAGAAGGGATGGAGAGAAAGGACAGGAGCCATGCGAGCTTTCGTTTGTTGCTTTCCCCTTTATTTGTTAAGGAGCAACTTCAGTATTTTTAATAGGGCTGAAAAGGCTTGATAGGAGGGGGAAATGTGGGGAGAGAAGGGGGAAAAATTAACAGAGCAAAAATCCTGAGAGAGGGGGAGGACTTGGGATCTAAAGGCGAGAGGGCTCAGCTGCAGAGAAGCAGAATGCTTCCATTGTCTGGTGGGAGGCTGGGCTTTGGGACGTGCTGGGAAATCAAGGTGGTTCTCTCAGGGCGGCTGGTACTTTCCCTATCAGTGGGTGTTGAGTCACTTGCTGAGAGTGAAGGGGGAGTGACATGTGTGGGTGGGAGGGATGGATATTTGAAGATTTGCAGAGAGCTGAGACTGTGTGAGAGAGCTGCTTTGGAGAATGGAAGGGAACATGTTACAGGGTCCCAGCTGGGCTTGGAGTAAAGTCAGAGAACCTCTCTGACTGGGATTCACACTTTTGGCCAAATTCACAGCTTTGCAGGAGACCTAGGAGCTTGCCTGGGAAAACCGTTTATTCTATAATTAGGTTTGAAACATGTGCAGACAGTCACTTGACTGGATAAAGCATAAATATTTCTTGGAATTAATATTAATCATTTATTATAAATGCTGTGTTCATACTGGATAGCCAGACTACACAAATCTCATTTTTTCACTATATTCTAATGTCACAACATTGGTGTGAAATTGCTAAAAAAAAAAAAAAAAAGAAGCACAAACTCTGACATTACTCAAGCTTGGGGGTTCAGTCATGGGTGGTCTCATCTGTAAAATATGGATGATAGGATGCTTCATAGAGTTGTTTCAGAAGTTAGTGCATTTGGTGGGATTTTAAAACTATATATATAACTAAATATAATAAAAAATAAATATATATATATATTTATATCTATATAGTTTTTGCTTTTGTGAGGTTTGTTTTTGTTTTTGTTTTGAGGCAGGATCTTGCTATGTTGCTCAGGTTGGCCTTGAACTATTTGGCTCAAGCAATCCTCCTGCCTCAGCCTTCTCAGAATCTGTAATCACAGCCATGGACTGCAGCACCCACCCAGCCTTTCTATATTAGCTTTCAAGTTATTAGCTAATCCTTTCCCAAACAGTTTCCTTGTAATCTATTCCTTGAAAAGGAAAAGGATGTAGGAAAGAAATACAGTGGAGTGAACCAGGGAAATGTGGTAACTAAAGAAAAAAGAAAAGAATCTCAGGGAGTCTTCCTAATTGGAGAACCCCTAAATCCATTCAGAGGCAATATATCTGAAGCCAATAGCGAAAGAAAGATTGTCTCCATGGCATAGAAAAATTCTCTCCTTCCCAGAGAGAAAGGAAAGAAGCAGAAACTGAGAGAGACAGACAGAGAGAGACAGAGAGAGACAGAGAAACAGAGACAGAGAGACAGAGACAAAGGTGGGGGAAAAGGGGGAAAGGGAGTGAGGGACAGAGGAGGGGATGGAATGGTGTTACTGGAGAGAAGTCCAGATTAATGAGAATTAAGGCCACAGTAATAAAGAACAATGCAGCAAAGGGACACTCTAAGGGTTGTCTATTGTTCTGTGACAATTTACTCCACAGCATAGAAGTCAAAGAAAACAAGCCCATTGTTTCACTTTATGTGGGAGGTCAGGAGACTTCAGAGTGGCTTAACTGGATGGTTTGGGCTCCTCAGTCTCTCCCAGCATTGCAGTCAAGCCATTGGCCTGACTGAAGCCATCTTTAGGCTTGATTAGAGCTGGGAGTCCTAAGCTGACTTCTGTGACTGTTAACTTGAGGCTTCCGTTTCTTACCACAAAGTCCTCTCCAAAGGGACACCCACGACAGGGTTGCTGGCCACTGCCAAAATGAATGATCCAAGAGGTGGAGAGGAGAAGAGAGGAGAGAAGAAATGGGAAAGGGGGCAGGGGCAGGCAGTGCAGGGAGGGAAGTGGAGACCATGATTTGAACCATTTAACTGGGTCCTAAATTCATTATTTCAATCTCTATTTTATCTGTGTGTACATTTCATTCATACAAAGCTCAGCAGTAGTAAATGTTCAGTAAGTGTTGGTTGTTATTATTATTATTTGTGTGTGTGTGTGTGCCGGGGATTGCATTCATGACCTCGTGCTTGCCAGGCAGGCACTTACACTGCTGAGCTAATCCCTCCCCCCGGGCCTATTACTAATTTTTGTCATTGGAAGAAAAGGTACCTTTTTAGATTCAAGAAGTTGACAGATACAGTCATTTTGAAAGGTAAACATTACGTTTCCATTCATCCTTTTCTGATAGTCATTAACAGTGTGACATACTGTAAAAGTTATATTTACAAATACCCATTGTGATCTGTGTGCCTACTGAGTTCCTTTGTAGTAGATCTAGATTGACTACGATGCTCATTTATTTTTTTCTTCTATTTACAAAGTCTTAAATCCCATACTGGTTTCTCAAACACTAGTGTCCAGTAAGAGCTGCCGATTCTTCTCTTACCTCAGTCACAATGCACACCACTGCCTTCCTTGAGGTGACTGAAGAAAACGGATTCTGCCACTTTTAGGTTTGGCCTCCACACCAAAGCTGAGCTATTTGACCTTGGGTAAGTTTCTGTATGTTGCTGAGCTGCTGCTGCTTCTTTTACAAATGGGGCTGTTGGAAGGTTAAATGAGATAAGAGGATACAGCACTTAGCACACGTACTTATCGCTGGAGTTGTCATTCTCTTGTTTCTTTTTTTAATAGGTCTAACTTCCACCAGCCAGTGTAGGTCCAAACACCTAATCTTCATCATGCCAGCTTATGGTACCTGACTTTTAATAAATGATTTCTACTTACTAAGTATTGATCTTTGTGTTGCTGGATATTGAGCCCAGGGCCTTGCACGTATTAGGCAAATCTAGTTCCAAGCAACTACAGCCCAGCCAATTAAATGTTGTTTTGTATCCTGCTTTTTGTGTGTGTTTTTTTAATGTGGTGCTGAGGATCAAACCCAGGTCCTTGCATCCACTGAACATATACTTTATCATTGAGCTAGAACCTCAATCCTATCAGATGATATTTTAATGCAGGGGAAAAGTAACTGGTAATGTCACTGTTTGTTTTGTACTTTGGTACTAGCGATCTCCTCTAATATATTTCCTAAGGGTAGAAGCTATTTCTTATTCATTTTCATATTTTTGTTCCCCCTAGGTCCTGGCAGAGTGATTGGTGCACAACAGTATTAAATATGTATTTGTTAACTAAAATTAAAATTAGAGCATTTGGAAAGAATTAAATTATGACAAGATAGAAAATCCTTGCAACGGAAGATGAAAAAAATGGGTCTGAGGAGAGAGGAAATTCACATTTCCAGGAAAAAAGTCATGTATACTACATAGATTTTCAATTACATATCATTCACTAAGTACCCTCCATGAACACTTTACAATTAAATTAATAACATTTCAAATCTTTAAAAAGATAATAGTTACAGAAATAGACAAAGATTCATCTTTTAAAAATATTTTAATACTTTATTTCATGAGCACAAGTAATATGAACACTTAGTACTGGGAACATTATATGATTAATCATATTAATGAATTAATGGCTTCCCAGAGTAAATGTTTCAGTTCTATTTTTGCTTAAAAGGGAATTATTAGAGAGAAGGACTTTCTTTGGAGGGAGTCAGTTTATATTCTCTATTCAACTATTGGGTACAATATGACAAAATAATTAGATCCTTCATAATATGAATGGGACAATAAGACCAAGACATTTTACTTTCCTTGCCCTAGAAACACTTAAATGATAAAATATCAGCCTTGGATCAAACCAAAACCCATTTGATGCCTCCATTCCCACATCTGTCACACGGCACCCAGGGTTGCTGCTTCTTGTTGGGTGTGTGGTGCTGTGATCTGTTAATTGCTCTGCTCAGTTGGTACTGTCTTTCATTCAGCACACGTCCTTTCAAAGAAATGCTCAGATAGCTCTTGTAGTCTTTTGAGAGGGAAACAAATTTGTGGTACTGGCGGGTTCCTTAGAGACTCTTTCAGTGTTGTAAAGATATGCTGCATGACTTCTTCAAGAGGCAAGTCAGGATGGCTCAGAATCAGAGTCAGGCTTCTCTGGAATCATCTTTCTCTCAGTTTGTGTTGGCCTGGGTCTACTGTTCCAGTCACCTCCTTCTCTGACGGTGCTATTTTTCCTTTAAATGGTTTTCACGGTATACTTCTACAGTCTGGATTCTTTTTAGAGAATAAAGGAGGGTAATGGGCTTTGGGAAGTGAGGGTATCTGTCATGCATTTTACTTGGTACTATTTTATTTCTAAGCAAAAAATGTATTCGTTTGTTTTTAAGCAGAGTCAAAAATGTTCCCACATCAAGATGCTTTTGGCATCGAAATGATTAAACTGTGTCTATTATGACAAAACAGCCGGTATCAAAATGGCTGTTGCCTCCACTGGTTGCCATCAAGAGAATGCTCTCTAGAATGCTCTTGTTGTTTATAGGAAAATAAAAATAAAAAGTTAAATTTCTTTCCATTAACATGTCTATTTTCAGTTGGGTACTGGGCTTACTTACCAAGGGTTGTATGACAAAAATGCACCACTCCTTATTCCTAATGACCAATGCCTCCTGCTAAAAGAGAAGTAGGTAAAAATTGACACAGATAATCTAGCTTTTCCCACAGAAATTGTGAAAGTCTCATACTAATTTTTATAATCAGGCTTTTATGCTTTGCCTTCATCAGAAAGATCTTTTGGAATTATCTACTAAGAGCCGGCCAACAACTCTATTCCAACATAGGGGCAGCTCAGAGCCACTCACTCACTGCCTATGATTTCACATTCAATCACAAGTCTGGAAGAACCATAATACACGTGAAATGCCTTGATCTGCTGTCTCTTGAGATACTCTGTTGGGTTGCAAAACACTTCCTGAAAGGTTTGGTGGTAGCAACCTTTCCTGACCTTTGTATCCAGGCTAAATAAGTTTATAGATTGGCAAGAGTCTTCTGTCAGTAATGGTAGATATGGGTTTCTGTTTCTAACCCAGTCATTGACTGATTTTTTTTTTTCCTTGACTTTTGGGGTACCACAGTCTTGGTTTTCTCCTGTCTCACTATTCCATCTTAGGCCTTTTCTGCCCTCTCTCCATCTGGTTTTTAAACGCTGAAATATTTTAGTATTCAGTGCTCTTTTGTAAGTACAACTCATTCCTTAGGAAAGTTAATTCAATTCTGTGGCTTTAAATAGCATCTCTGTGTTAATTACTCCAAATATGTATTTACAGCCTCCAGATCATATCTGGAGACTTATATGTCTCCATCTGAATATGCAAGGGGCATCTCAAATGTATAGGTCCAAAACAGCACTACATTTCTCAACCCACGCCCCTTCTAGTCTTCTCCATCTTAGTGTCAAAATGGAATATACATTATAAGCCACATAGAAGTTGTCTCTGATTCTTTTCTCCCTCAACTCAAACATATAACCCAGCAGCAAATAGTACTATAATTCTTTCCCCAAAATATACCTGACTACATCTCCTTCCCACACTTTCCAATTCCACTACCTCAGTCCAACTTATCATCTCTTACCATCACCAATACAATGGCCTCTTAACTGGTCTCCCCTTTCTTTGCAAGACTGGCTTCTTCTCATCACTTAGGTCTCAGAAAACAGGTCAAGGCTCAAAGAGGATCCTATGGTTTAAATATGAACTGTCCCCCAAAGGTCCATATGTTAAACTCTTGATCCTCATACAGCAGTATTTAAAGATGAGGCCCAGGGAGAAGATTGAACCACGTGTCTGGATTAATCCACTGGCGAAGTCATAGCTAAGCAGGCTATTATGAGGTGGGGCTCCCTTGAAAAGGTAGGTCACTGTAGCCCCAAGCCCTTCTCTCTCTGACTCTTTCTAGTCCTCTTTGCTTTCTGGTTGTCATGAAATGAGCATCTTTCCTTACACCATACTCTTCAGCCATGATGTTTCTGCCTTGCCACAGCCCTAAAAGCAATGGATCCAGCCAACTATGAACTAAAATCTCTGAAACTGACAGCCAAAATAAATCTTTCCCCCTTTAAATTGTTTTGCTCAGGCATTTGGTCACTAAATGGCAACCTAACTCAAAAGACTTCCCAAGCTATCCCACCAACAGTGACCCTCTACTCTACCCCAACACATGCTCTATCAGTTCACCATGTTGTCTTCCTTCACATAACTTACAAAAATATGTTATTATCTATTTTCTTCCTATTGATTGTATTCTCCACTAGAATATAAGCTCCACTGGGGTAAGGAGTTCAACCTTTCTTCTCCACTCAATCACAAACACTTATCAAAGTACCCAGGTCAAAATAGGCTCTTGATAAATATTGCTGGAAAGAACAAAATGACACCTTTTGAAAAGAGGATTTGGGTACTTACCCAATACCAATTTAGACATTTCAGAACCACTAATATTTGCTATTGTTCACAAGCACTCCATTCAGATTAGACATTTCAGAACCACTAATATTTGCTATTGTTCACAAGCACTCCATTCAGATTCGTCTCCTATACATGCATCAAATGCAAGGAAAGCTTATCTAAAGGCAATACTTTGAGAATATTTGGAGGTTTCATTTGGACAGTTCTGCCAAACTACCATTTTGTTTGATTATCACAACTTGAACACTAAGATAACTATGTTTGGTGATACCATTTAGTTCAAGCACCAATCGTTATTTAAAACTGAAAGTGTTCTTTTTTATAAGATTTTATTACAAAAAATGTATCCAAGAAGAAATAATTCCATGGATTAAAATGATCAATATTTAATTTATACATATTTATTAATCTCATGTATTTATTCAATATTGCTGAAGCAAACATAAATACACTATAAATAGATTTGTAGGGAGGGAATGAAAAAATCATTATTTTGCAAACTGACACAAAGAGTTCTCAGTTAACAAATTATCTCTGTTTAGAATAAACTCCAGAGAGATGTCTAAGGGATGATGGATGAGTCCCCATGTACTGGAAAGAAACAAAAAAAAGATCAAAATGATCATTCTGCATAAAAACCATGCGGAAATATGCGAAGAAGAGAGAAAAGGTAAGTGAAGAGAAAATGTGGGAGAGAAGACTGAGAAGATGCCAAGAGGCTTATGCCTGGGCTGGTGGAAATAGAACAAGGAAAGTGAGTTTTTCAGTTTTAAGCTGGCGGCTGAAGAGTGCTACACATTTGCCATAAAGCCTCCCCCCATATGGCAAACACTATCTTTGAATTTCCAGGAAGTGTCTACCACATGCAGCTGCCTCACATGAATTTGGGGTGGGAAATCAAGGAGGAGGGTCTGTAAATCATCCTTGGGTCAGTGCCAAAAGAAGATAAAGGAACAGCTGCATGATACTGAGTGAAGAAGGGGAATTCAGCAGCGACTAGAAATCAGATCCTGAGGCTGCCAAGAGAATGGGCAGCCTGAGGAACTGCAGGGAGTTAGGAGTGAGCATTGAGTTTCTGGAAGGCATGGCTTGAGTTTCCAGACGAGTTCCTATACACTATGAGGTAATACAGTGTTTGATTTCACAAGTAATCCAGAAGCCACTAACAGTGTGATTCTGCTGATACATATGAATCACTCCTTACCACATAGTGAAAACAGCACATAGGGGTGACATGTGCAGTAGATGGGATGTTTGTAACTCCCACTCTCAAGTCCGTACATTGAAATCCTCTTTCCCAATGTGATGGTATTAAGAAGCATGGTTTGGGAGATTATGAGAATGGTGCTCTTGTGAATGGAATTAATGCCCCTATAAAAAGAAGTTCAGGATTTTCTTGCCCTTTTCCTGCCATCCAATAAGACATAAAAGTCTGCAACTATGTAGAAGTTCCTGTCCTGGCCAGAATCTGATCATATTGGCATTATGCTCTAGTACATCCAGCTATAAAAACTATGAGAAAAAAATTATGTTATTTGTGAACCACCTACTCTATGGTACTTTGATATAAAAATCTGAACTGACTAACATAATAGGTATTGTGCATTTCAATTTTAGTACTCTCTTGTCATCTTTCTATTTTATTTCCATTTTACTCTGTGGTTCCACTCTCCAATCCTAAACCATGCTAGTTACACTGATAGGTCACTGTTTTGTTTCTGTTTTATTTTTATAGTTGGTTAACCAGAGCCATAAAAATTAAATTTCTCAAATCAGTATAGTAGAAAGGCAGTGAAAACTGTTTTAAGTACTAGTAGAGAGAAAAACCAACAGTTTTTGATGAAAAGCACGTTCCATTCAACTAAATAATTTACTTATTGAATTCAACAAATATTTATGTGCCAGAGACTCTGCTAAGTTCTGGAACTTCAAATATGAATAAAACTCAATTGCTCCTTTTGGTGAGTTTACAGTTTATAATCCAGCAGGGATACATAAACACATATAATTACAGTGCAATGTAGTAAGTGCAAAACATAAAAGCAATTGTGGCTTTTATGAGATCATTGAAGTGAGGCACTTAGTGAAGGCTTCAGAAGGGGTCAGGGTTAAGGGTGGCTCTCTGAGCTGACAGCTGAGTAGGATTGTAAGAGATGTGAGGAGTTGAGCAGAGACTGGGGAGGGAAGCTGTGTTGGGGTCAGGGCAGGAGAGAATGTAGAGGTGCACCTTCTAGAAGGTACAGCATAGGCAAAGGCACAGAAAGAAAAAAAAACAGAAGATACATTGGACTGTTAGCAGTTCTGAGTTACTGAAGAAAAGGTTAAGGTATAAACGAGGTGGAGAAAAAGGTAAGGGTTAGATAATGGTGTGTAACATTAAAAAATACTGATCATCTTGTCTACGGTGTAGAAATGCTAAACGGTTTTAGGCAGAAAAGTAGCATGGAAAAATCAGTATCTAAGAAGAGAACAGCAAGAAAGGGAGTATAATTGTACCTACATTTAGGATAGATGCAATGAAGGAAATTTGTAAAAGAATTGTTGTTCTAGCTAGGTCTAAAACATGGGTAGAGGAAGTGGAGAGGCAGGAGCAGATCTAAGATGGTTTAGGAATTTAAACTATCTGGGGATACTACTGCTTTTAGAAGCCAAAATGAGAGAGAAAATGCTAGAACTGTTGGGAGAGATGTAGGGTAAAAGTAGAACATTAGAATTCAACTTTGCATAAAACTTAGCTTGAAAAACTAAGGGTATCTCTGATAACCGAGGGAAGATCTTAAAACAAGAAGGATGATAATCAAGGGAGATGCCAGAGAAAACATAAGATCACAAAAAAGTAGAAAAGGAATGGTCAGAAATATATGAATGATGACAGTATATGGTAGCCTCAAACTCTGAAACTCAAGAGGTTCAAGAATAAATTTTAAGAAAGTGCTCAATTGTGTCAAATGTAACATGGCATGCTATAATATAGAGCTTAAAGGAAAATATTTAAATTTATCCATCTAGATATCATTTTAAAAGTTGGGTACAATTCCCTCGAATATCCAGGGAGAAAATTCAAATAAAAAAAGGCCAGTACAGAAAGAAAAATTATTGATTAGTCTCATGTATAAACATAGATGCATAAAAATTAAATAAAACATTTGTAATTCATTGAAAATACAATATAATCCAGAATGGTTTAATTCCAGAAAGGAATATTTTATTTTTTTGAAATCTATAATTCACTATAATACCAATTAAAGAACAAAATTAAATGATTATCTCCATATATACAGTAAAAACACAATAAGAGCTAACATTCAATTCATTATTTTAAAATATCCTTCTTAGAAAAGTAGGAATATGGGGCTGGGGATTTAGCTCAGCGGCATGAGCACCCGTCTTGCAAGCCGGCAGTCGTGAGTTCGATCCTAGGTACCGATTTAAAAAAAAAAAAGAAAGAAAACTAGGAATACACCAGACCATCCTAAATGTTGAAACAACAGCAAGATTATATTTAATGATGAAATAATGGAAACATGATATTCAAAGTCAGGAAAAAGACATAGATATT